GAGATCAGTTGTAATTAGACTACTGTAACGCTCTCTACATGGGGCAGCCCTTGCCAGAAATTCAGAAGCTGCAGTTAGTGCAGAATGCTGCAGCCAGGCTTCTGATGGGCTTTCCCAGGTGGGAGCACATCCAGCCTGTGCTGCAGACACTGCACTGGCTGCCAATAGCATACCAAATTCAGTTCAAGGAGCTGGTTCTTACCTTTAAAGCCCATATGGCCAGGGTCCGACATACCTGAGGGGACCGCCTTTCCCCATACCCCAGAGAGCACTATGGTCGGGGTCTCAAAATCGACTAACCCTCCTGGGTCCCAAGGAGGCCAGGCTTGCTACTACCAGGGCCAGGGCCTTTTCAATGGCGGCTCCATACTTGTGGAATGAGCTCCCGGAAGAGATCAGGGCCCTGCTGGATCTTGTACAGTTCCGCAGGGCCTGCAAGACGGAGCTCTTCCACCAGGCTTTCAACTAAGGAGCCACCACCACTATTACCACCATCAGTCTCAATTATAGAGCCCCGGCCCTTGGCTTTGACATCTAGCCTGTGCCGCCGCTCGTATTAGGAAGAGCATTGAGCAGAATAGTTGTTAGATCTGTGTGTGCACTCTTACAGTACGTCATCTTAAGCAACTAATCAAACATCACCAGCACTTTATGAATTATTTATTAATACAATCAAACTGTCTTTATATGATTTTATGTGGATTCTGTTATTTATGTATTCATTAACTAGTGTAAGCTGCCCTGAGCCTGCTTTTGCGAGGAGGGCAGGGTGCAAATTAAATAAACAAAATAATAAATTAATTAATTAATCGCAAGAGTTCTCCATGCCCCCACCTGGAGGACGGCATCCGCTCACGGTCCACACTGCCCCAGTAATAACCATACCCTGTGCATCCGCTGCCACACCCATTGCAAACGTTAAGGAGCCGGCTGTGCGTTATGCCTCTAGCAGGGTTTTTCCTTCTTCACCGGCTCTTCCTTCTCTCCCGCAACCAGTGCAGTGGGGGCGGCTCTCGAGAACCAGACCTGTACAGTCATCTCTCCACGTCTTCCCAGACAAGGATGGAGTTCCCATCGCAGGAAGTCCTCCAGTGCCTCTTTTTGGCTTTTTTTTCCTTTTCAGTCTGCCAGGAAGTCTGGATTCTCCCTGCCTCCTCCGCCGCCTTGCACACATCTGTCAGTCGGGAGAGAGAAGGGGGCACGTCGGGTTCTGACTCTATCGTGGGCTGCCGCCGCCACCTCCCTCCATTGACGCCCCTCTGTTTACAGGCATAAATTAATCGGATTCCTCTTCCCAGCTGAGGAGTCGCTATTTTTAGATGTGCACGCATAGACACCCATGCTGTTTTTAGTCAGCGGGCGTGTAGGTGTTTGCGAGGAGTATACAGGCCCCGGGGAGCGTGTGTGCGACTTGCTGTCGGGATGCGGGGGTGGACAGATCCGGAGCGGGCCCGCTTAATGGTTTTCAGCGACTCCTCATTATGTGCACTAGCGCAATGCTCGTGGTTCTGACTGGCGGGTGTTTGGGTGGAAGGAGATTTGTATATTGAAAGGACTTCTGGGGGTGGGGTCGCTGGGGAGTGGGGCTCTCACACCACACAGGATCCCTGCAGGTGAGGACTAGTGTTCCGTCTAAGCTGAGTGAGTGCGAGCTAGCTCACAGTTTTTGAGCCTCCGGCTCACACATTTTTGTCTCGGCTCAGGAAGGAGGGCTCCAGAGCATACTGATTTATATTTAGGATTTTTGGCTCCAATGTGCATCACCTTGCACTTGGCCACATTGAACCCCATTTGCCATGTTGACGCCCACTCGCCCATCCTTGACAGATCCCTTTGGAGTGCCTCACAATCCTCACTGGTTTTCACCACCCTGAACAACTTCGTATCATCCACAAATTTAGCCACTTCACTGCTTACTCCCATGTGGTGCTGCTCGTTAGGGTGTGGGGTGCAGGGCTCACGATGCAAAGACGACAGGACACAAACGGCTGCAGGAACTGATCTGAATGAAGGAAGGAAGGAACGAACCTCCTCCTCTCACACACCAGCTTTATTTATACACCTTTCTCCCTCCCTCTCCCTCCATAAGGGAGTTACAAGCATTAGAGCATCCTTTTTGAGTGTGTGTGTGTGTGTGTGTTTTGACTGCGTAGTAGGCAGTCACCAGACTTCTCTTAGCACACAAACACTTCTGGGTTCCCATTCTCCAGGCAGGAGATTCCTGCACTGCCCTACACTCCCAACTCCAAATCATTAATTTATGCAGCGGCCAAATTGCTCGCTCACAACTTTAATGCCCGTAGCTCAACACAGTAGAATTTTTGCTCACGAGACTCCACAGCTTCGAGGGAGCATTGGTGAGGACGATGCTGGTCAGTACCCGGGGTGGAGGCGCAGGGTTTTGCCCTGGCTGTGCAACCGTGTTTACTTATTCAGCCCTCGACTTTGTATGAAGCTGCCTTGTATCAAGTCAGGCCATGGGTCCGTCTAGCCAGGTATGGTCCAATCAGACTGGCCTGCAGCTCTGCAGGACACCACCAGACAGAGAGAAGGTCTTTCCCAGCATTGGCTACCTGGAGTCCTTAACCAGAGAGAGTTTCAGCGGGCAGCCATGTCGGTCTGCAGTGAAAGAGCTGGGCTCGAGTCCAGCCTTGCCTTACAGACCAACACGATTTCCAGGGGATGAGCTTTTGAAAGTCAGAGTTCCCTTTGTCAGGTGCCCGAGGTGGCACAGACTGAAACCGGGGCCTTCTGCATGTAAAACAGGTGCTCCGAATTAAAACTACATTGCCGAACGTATGGCATCGTGTGTGGAGCAGCCAGGAGATCCCAGCTTATTTTTAGGCGGAGAGTGCTGGGCCGTGCCCAAGGTCGCCCAGCTGGCTTCAAGTGGGGAATCACACCCAGTTCCCCAGATTAGAGTCCACCGGTCTTAACCACTGCTCTCTACCCCTGAGCCACAGCCCTTCCTGAAGCCGGGGGTAGGTCCAGCCATTTGCTTCGATGGGGAAGAAATGGGAGAACTGAGCGGCTGCGTGGCTCACAAAAGCTGATCGAATGTTGTCAGTCTGTAAAGTGATACCGGACTTCTGGTTTATTTGGGAGGAAATGGAAGTCGCTGAGGGATGTTATTGAGGTGAGGGGCTGAATAATCTTTTTTTTTTTGGCCTTCATACGTGATAATCACAAACTGGCACTGAGATTTGTTTTGCTCGGCCATCGAGAGGACCAGAAATCTGTTTCAAGGTACTCTGAAAACCACAAAAGTTATTGGAGGTGACAGTCTTTTCCGTGGGTCCCCAACGTGGTGTTTGTTGACACCATGACGCATGCCACCACTTTTCCTGGCCACCCACCAAGTGTTTTTAAAAAGGGTCCAAGCAAAGCCCAGCAGAGCTTCTTATTGGCTGTTCAGATTTAAAGGCATCCTGTTACACAGGGCTTCTGCCTTAAGTGTTGGAAGAGTTACTCTTTTTTGTTTTGTTTTGTATTTTTCATATGTGAGTGTGTGCACCTGGAAGTCACGGTGACCTCTGGTGACTGACGCCTACTGGGGGGCTGAAGGCTGAATAAGGTGGCTGGATAAAGCCTGCCCCCTCCTCCCCATTGCTGGTATTCCTTGGAGGTCTCCCATCAAGTCCTTGCCAGAGTCGACCTTGCTTAGCTTTTGAGATCAGGCTTGCCTGGGCTATCCAGGTCAGGGCGGAAGAGTCACTTATGATAGTGATGCATAACCTCGCTCTGTGACATTTTGTGGCTGGCTCCACCTCCTCTCAGCAGCCATTTTGTCGACACCCTGTGTCAGAATTACAAATGTGCCCACAGGCTCAAAGCAGTCCAGTAGCTCCAAGTGGGGCTTTTGGGGTCTCCGCCCCCTTTCTTAAAGGCATAGGCCCAAAAGAATATCACCTGTAAATGCTTTTTTCAATCATTTTAAAAACCTTTTTTATAGGTGGGGGCTCCTTTAAGCAGAGTGGGGTGCTGTAGTTGACCGATTCCCGCATTGAGCAAGGGGGTTGGAGTGGATGACCTCTAGGATCCCTTCTCTGTGTCAAGAAACTGGTCTCCTTTAAGAGAGTTTTCCTGCCTAAGTGTTAGCTCTCTTCACTATAGAAGTCATCACCCCCACCTGCCAGCTTGTCATCCGAAGTGTTGCTTAGGATGGCAGAAGTGATTAACTTGCAGCAGCTGAGAACTGTCATCTGAAGTAGTTGACAGCTTGCAATTTGGAGATCTGTCCTGGTAACAGCTTTCTATTGGCTAAATGGCTTTTCTTTCTGCACTGAGAACTTCAGCCCCACCAGAAAAAAAATTGGCCCCACAAGCCACAAAATCCTGGCTACTGGCCTGGCTCAGAGGTTGGAGACCCCTGGTCTTTTTCCTGAGCGTGCTGTGCTGTTTCCTAGACTGAAGACCAATGCTTCCTCTAAGCTTGTGGAGTCCTGTGGGCAAGGATTCAACTTTGTGAGCTCCTGTCATTAAAGTTGTGAGCGAGCATTTTGGCTACTGCATAAATCAGTTTGCTCTGGAGCCCTCCTTCCTGAGCGGAGACAAAAGTGTGTGAGCTGGAGGCTAAAAAACCGTGAGCTAGCTCTCACACCCACTCAGCTGAAGAAGAAGAGAAGAGATTGGATTTATACCCCGCCCTTCACTCGGCGTCTCAGAGCGGCTTACAAACACCTTTCCCTTCCCCTCCCCACAACAAGACACCCTGTGAGGTGGGTGGGGCTGAGAGAGCTCTGACACAAACTGCTCTTTTTCAAGGACAGCTGTGCCAGAGCTTGTGACTGACCCAAGGTCACACCAGCAGCTGCACGTGGAGGAGTGGGGAATCAAACCCGGTTCTCCCAGATTAGGGTCCGCGCACGTAACCACGACACCAAACTGGCTCTGAGAGGGAACACCGCTGAAGACCATGTTTTACTATTCAGGCTAGTGATATTTGAATGTGCTGTGCTGGTGCTTTTCTCCTTCCCTGCTGCAGGGAGGCAGAGCGAGCGCTGCCGAGAGCCAGGGACCCGCCTGCAGTCATGGAGAGCAGCATGCAGCTCCTCAACCGGGACGGCCACAGCATCTCCCACAACTCCAAGCGGCACTACCACGACGCCTTCGTCTGCATGAACCGCATGCGCCAGCGGGGCTTGCTGTGTGACATCGTCCTGCACGTGGCCACGAAGGAGATCAAGGCTCACAAAGTCGTGCTGGCGTCCTGCAGCCCCTACTTCCACGCCATGTTCACAAGCAAGTAGCTTTTTCTCCGCACCGCCTTTCCGATTTAGCCGGCCGTGCTTAAAAAGCCCAAAGCCAAACCCCACTCCCTGGTCGCCCACGTACTGTCCCGAGAACTGAATTTTGCAAGCGGTGTATAAATAATGCAGATCGAGCATACTTAACGGACACGATTTCCCTTGGGGTTTTTTTGCAGAATTTGTTTTGAATTATTTAATTGGTTTTGCATAATTTATTCCAGTTCAATGAGGAAGGTCAAGGAGCTGTGTGGGGTGCTGGTATTCTGTGCCCTGGTCACCGGATATTTTATCCAGCCTGTGAGATTTCAGCCAATGTCCTCACACTTCCAGGCACATCTTTACAGTTACCTTCAGCGCAGTTCTAAGGAGAGTTGCCCCTTTCAATTTATTTATTTTGATTTATATCTCGCCCTCCCCGCAAGCTGGCTCAGGGCAGTCACAGCAATAATATTACAAAACCATTCAAACAGTCATAATAATAAATAATCAAAACAATTTAAAAGCAGGTAGCACAACAAATTAGGAAAGAACAGCAATCTCAAATGGCTGGAGGCTACTAGGCCATAAACCAAAGGACAGTGGAGATCTTATGCATTGACTTCAGCAGGCTTAGAAGGGTCTAAATCTGTTTAGGATTGTAGCCTTGATCTTTATTCTTTTTTATAAAAGCTGGTATTTGTAGATGGCAGGTGTTTTGCCATGTACCATGTTTTGTGCCTGCAATGAACTGTGGTATACAATCAACACCATTGCTAGTTACTCTGAGAGCTGGTCTCTGTGTTCATCAACACACACGACCATTTTTCCCCCCAAACTCTATAGGGTGCCTTCATAAAAGTATCGACTGCCTAAAACTGCCTTATATCAAGCCCCAGGCCATTGTTCCAATTGTTCCACAATAGCTCTCCAGAGTCCTGGGCCTAGAAAAGTTTTTCCGGCACCTGTCATCCTTTAACTGGAGATGCCAGGAGTTGAACCCGGGACCTTGTGCATGCAAAAAAAAAAAAAGTGTTGTACTGCTGATCTGTGGCCCTTCCTTGTGAGGGACACATCAGAGGGTAGATCGGGGATGTGCAAGCTCTTCCACAGGACAAAAAGGAACAATGAGCTTGGTTGGGGCGCACGACCGCTCTCGGTTCTGGTGAAAACGTTACGCAAACCTCGTGGAATTCCATGTGTGAACTTGTCTCTGCAGATGAAATGAGCGAAAGCCGGCAGACCCATGTGACACTGCACGACATCGACCCGCAGGCGCTGGAGCAGTTAGTCCAGTATGCCTACACTGCTGAGATTGTGGTGGGAGAAGGGAACGTGCAGGTAAGGACGCATCCTGCTGCAAATCTCATCGTATTTATGGTTTTAGTAAATTTGTATGCCCCTACTTCAGAAGCCTTCTTGAGGCGGCTTATAGAAGAAGAAGAAGAAGAAGAAGAGATTGGATTTGCACCCCGCCCTTCACTGGGAGTCTCAGAGCAGCTTACAGTCTCCTTCCCTTTCCCTTCCCCACAACAGACACCCTGTGAGGTAGGCGGGGCTGAGAGAGCTCTTTTGAGGACTGCTCTTGAGAGAATAGCTCTGAGAGAACTTGTAACTGACCCAAGGTCACACCAGCAGCTGCATGTGGAGGAGTAGGAAATCAAATGTGGTTCTCCCGGATTAGAGTCCACCGCTCTTAACCACGACACCAAACTGGCTCTCTAGCATATAAAGCAAGGTGAAATCATAAAAACATATGCTCATTAAAGTGAGCAAACTCTTGAGAGCCCCTCCAGAGCATAAAACCCTTGTTGGAACATAAAACATTTATAAGCTTAAATGATCCTCACAACAGCTTTCAGGCTTGGCACATATTGTAAAAGCAGTTGAAAGGAATCAAACCCCCTTAGGTAAAAACTGAGCCCTGACCTGGATAGCCCAGGCTAGCCCGATCTTATCAGATATCGGAAGCAAAGCAGGGTCAGCCCTGCCAAGTATGGATGAGAGACCTCCATGGATACCAGGGTCATGGAGGCAGGCAGTGGCAAACCATCTCTGAACATCTGTTTGCTTTGAAAACCCCACGGGTTTGCCATAAGTCAGCTGTGACCTGATGACTAAATAAATAAAGGTGAAAGCCTGGGTAAAAAGAAATGTTTTGGCCTGCCACCTGAAAGAGTGAGTACATCCTGGGCAGAGAAGGGAGGGCATTCCGCAGTTGAGGTGCCACGGCTGAAGAAGCCCTGTCTCTGATCGCCACCTGCCTCTGTTAACCGCCTGCCCTGTCCACAGCAATTTTGTGAATCGGTGTGATATTAGGGTTGCCAAATGTAAATTCCTCCGGAGCGGGGGACTCCTGTCCAGGGTCTGGAGCGCGCGCCGCACGCACGTCCCCCGGAAGTGACGTGACGCCGCCGGGCATGCTGGGGGCGGGGCCACGACCATCCGAGGGAAAACCATAGAGTTTTCCCTCGGATGACCATGGCCCCGCCCCCAGCGTGCCCGCGTCACTTCCGGGTGACGCGCACGTTGGGGTGGGGTTCCCCCTAGGGTCCGATCAGCCGGCGGCGGGAAACGGGCCTCTGGGCCGGGCGTTTCCCCACCCCCCGGGGGGACTTGGCAAGCCTAGTGTGATAAGGGTACAGAGTAACGGCAGAAGGTTTCTTTGTTCAGCATCTATTCCTCTGGCCCAAAGTGTCTGAGAAGGTTACTCAAATATTTTTTAAATTTTTACTTTAGAAATGGCGGAAGGGCAATACAAAACAGATTGTCTTCCTCTTTCTGGGAAGGAGAAGGCAACAAGACTGATGTAGCAATTAGAGTTTTAGACTACAGCAGCGTTGGGGGAGACCCAGCTAAGAAGTTCACAGGGGGACTTTCGGCCAGGTACCACATCTCAGCTTAACCCTCCTTGCAGGATAAGGATAAAACTAACCCGAGAAGAGTAAGAATAAGCTTCCCCTAGCCTGGATAGCCCAGGCTAGCCTGATCTCATCATATCCCAGAAGCAAAGCGGGGTCAGCCCTAGCTAGAATGGATGGGAAACCTCCAAGAAATACCAGGGTAGTGATGCAGAGGCGGGCAATGGCAAACCACCTCTGAATGTCTCTTGCCTCGAAAACCCTACGGGGTCACCATAAGTGAGCCATGACTTGACCACACTTTCCACCGAGAATAACATGGGGGAAATCCAGGTATGCCACCCATGTGCGCTAGAACCAGGGCTATTTTTGGGCAGGAACGCACAGGAACGGAGTTCCGGCTGGCTCCTGAGTTGGCCACACCCAGCAGGAACTCATTAGCATAATAGGCCACACCTAACAGCAGAAACCCATTAGGATTGGCTACATTAGGGGTGTGTGGCCTAACATGCAAAGGAGTTCCTGCTACAAAAAAGCCCTGGGTTTTGACAACAAACAAGGTAAACAGAATAAGAAGCAAAAGGTTGGTGTGGCTGGATGACCACACTTCTGGTAACATGGGGGTGTGGCCTAATATGCTAATGAGTGGTGCCGTCAGGGGTGTGGCCTAATATGCTAATGTGTTTCTGCTATTGGGTGTGGCCTGTTATGCTAATGAGTTCCTGCTGGGCTTTTTCTACCAAAAAAGCCCTGGCTAGAACACCTTTTCCCTTTAGCTCCGCAGCCCCCAGGTAACTAACCATCACTGCAGAATTTTGTCTCAAGGTTCATTGTGGTGGAATCCTCCGCAGCTGTGAGATTTAGTTGAGAGTTCAAAAGGTTTAGCAACGGCTCACTTAACTATCTGCTACAAACTGGCTTCAGACCGAAGTACCTTATTAGGACGCGTCTGACGGAAACATGGAAATTGCTTCAAGTTATTATATAACTGAGGTTGGTTTTGAATGACGCTGATTAAAATGGTTCCAGTAAGAGGGTAATCAGAGCTCACTTATTAGCGAACGGCTTTGCTTGCACTGCAGAATTGTGTTCTGAGTGTGTTGAATTAGAATCCACTCCCCCGGGGGCGTCCATTTTTGGGGTGGAAGGGCAGCAGATAAATGCTCCTAATAAATGTGCATTCATATGTTTGCAAGACAAAGCTTTAAATAAAAGAGTGTAGATTTGTTAATCTGTGTAACCGGCAGAAGAGCAAGATTTGAGTCTCAAGGCACCTTAAAGACCAATAAGGTTTCCATGGTATGAGCTTTTGAGAGGCAAAGCTCCCTTCATCAGATCTGGATTCAAATCTCGATCTTTTACTGCACACCAACACAGCTGCTCACTGCTCACTGCTCACTATAACCAGTTTGCTGGAGTGCCCAATTTAGAGTTTGAGAATTTTGGTTTTTGTTTTTTGGTGGTGGGGAGTTGGTAGTTTTGCAGTTTTTTGTGTGTGTGCCTGGAAGTCATGGAGACCTCTGGTGACTCCTGCTGGGGCATGGCGGGCGTTCAGAGAAGTGGCTTGACCTCCTGCCTCTGCCTCCCAGCCCTGATATTCCTTGGAGGTCTCCCATCCAAATACTTGCCAGGGTCAGCCCTTCTTAGCTTCCGAGATCTCACGAGATCGAGAGTTTGAGAACTTTGTTGATTCACAAGATCAGTTTTAATTTTGCTTGAATTAGGGTTATATTTTTAATGTTATTTTTATCTGCATCAGGTTTGGTATTTAGGGTCAGTCCAAACATTACACTGGACGTCCTGTTGTGGAAGTTGACCCTAGAAGGCAGCTGGGCAAGGTGGTGGGCCCATGAGTCGGCCCATGGCACAGCAGAAGTAGAGCTTAAAACTCTCCGACCCTCAGCGTTGTTTCCCTCTGTTGTCCCTGTCTTTCCCCCCAATATTAATATTTTCCAATATTAAAACCAGCGCAGGGCAGTTATTTCAGACTGGAGAAACAGTGCATGGGTGGAGTAAGAATTACATTTCTCTCTCTCTAGAACTTGTGTATCGTATGTACAGACAGGCTACACTTGCTTATTCTTGTTGAAAAGAGCATATGCTCTTTTGATACTGTTCTAGGTTATAAGTGAAGCACCTCTGAGCACGTACAGGATGCCAGCACTTCTGAGTTGCACCTGCAGATGCAAAGCTCTCCCCTCCCCCCTGGAATTGGTGGGCCTAAATAGAGATGTAAAATTTCCAGGAATTTTGAAGCTCGGAAAAAAACCCGGTTTCTTTTTTAAAAAAACCAGAAATTTTCAGAAAAATGGGGGGGGGGAATGCTACATTAGCACTTCCTTTTTCTTTTCCAGATTGAAAGTCATTCTGTTACTTTACGAACATAAAATATGACTATGGACATTTTTACTTGGCATGAAATTATCACAACTAGCATATTAAAAATATAGTGTATCCAAACAATTATTACAAACAGAATACCCACCCACATGCAAAAACAAAACTGAAACCTTTTTCTTTTCTTGTGACAATAGCACCTCCTAAAGGAAGAAATGCATCTTGTTCTTGCATTGGAGAGTTCAGTTTGTAACCTAGGACTTGCTTGTCCTCAGTGCACAGAAATTAGATCAATCTGATACCATACATATTTCTTAGAAATGATTTGGAAAATATTTGAACACCTGGTCTTAAAATATTTTATTAATCATGTTAAAATAAAATTTTACATAATCAATTTTTTTTCTTTTTTCAATTTTTCAAATCTTTCTGAAAAAAACAAAAAAGGCTTCAGGAAAAAACGGGGGGGGGGGATGGTTTCCCCCCCGAATTTTTCCAGGTTTTTTCCCGGGCCTTCACATCTCTAGGCCTAAAGAAAGGGGGTGGGACTTGTGTCATACCATGTGAGATCTCTTTTTTCAGCTGACATCACTGATAATCTTTTTTTTAAAAAAAAAAATACAGCCACGCCCTGACCTGGATAGCCCAGGCAAGCCGGATCTCGTCGGATCTCGGAAGCTGAGCAGGGCCAATCCTGGCAAGTACTTGGAAGGGAGACCTCCAAGGTATACCAGGGCTGGTACGCAGAGGCAAGCAATCAAGCTACCTCTCTGAAAAAGATGTCCTAGCCCCAGTAGGGGTCGCCAGAAGTCATCATGACTTCCAGGCTCGCAAGCACACACACACACACAGAGAATGGAACAAAGGAACCAACAAAAGGCAACAGTGCATGCTTCCTGAGCCGCAAATGCTGCCCGCATATTTTCTCGCTTGTTTCCAAAGGGAGCTTGCCCCCTCGCAGCCCTTCCCACCTCCCTCTCTGCAAGCCCTTCCCGTCTTCGTAAGGTTCCAGGAAGACGCCAGCTGGGCCCCTGGACTCTAGCTCAGCGCACGGCTGATATAAATGAGGGTGTGCTCTGCCTCTGCCTAAAATAGCAGTTTTCCAATTAGATTTGTCCTGAGGTTCTGGCTTCATTAAAAAAGAAAGAAAGAAGATGCAGAGCTCTGTTAAAAGCAAGGAGCAGAAGTGTTTTGAAGCGATGGGACTGGGTGGGGGAGGGCCGCACGTCATGATCAATGTTCCCTCTAAGCTGCGGAGTCTGGTGAGCAAAAATTCTACTTTGTGAGCTACTGGCATTAAAGTTGTGAGCGAGCGATTTGGCTACTGCATAAATTAATTTGCTCTGGAGCCATCCTTCCTGAGCTGAGACAAAAATGTGTGAGCCGGAGGCTAAGAAACTGTGAGCTAGCTCACACTAACTCAGCTTAGAGGGAACACTGGTCATGATACCATTGGTCCGGGGGGGGGGCGGCTACTACACGCCTCTGTCACGATAATGTGGTGATAAGCTCTGAGTTGGTGAGATCTTAGAAACAGAAGGCAACCGTCCGAACTGTCTTGTGCTAACTATTTACATTTATTTACATAATTCACACTGAGCTTCGCCAGACACCACGTTTGGAAGCAGAGAGAAACAGTGCAGTCTATTCACAGTTATATACATATCAGCAAAGAACAAGCGCCAATCAGCATTCAGTCCTGAGTCATTATGCACAGGCATAATTGCACTGGTCAGAACTGGTATGAACTAGCTAATGTGGCTGTCACTAACTGTCAGATCACCAGCCTGATGACTTATCAAGCAACATTTATATGCTGACGGCCTCCACATTTGATTAGGTAAGAAAATTGAGTGAGGGGAGGAGTCCGCAGAGGAGAATTGGCAGGAGCTGATACTCAGCTGTCCCTCCCTCCTATTGGACTTATTTCCAAGTGGTGGTGGATCTTGGAGAGGGGAAGGATCTAGAATCATAGACTTGGAAGGGATCTCCAGGGTCATCTAGTCCAACCCCCTGCACAATGCAGGAAATTCACAAATACCTCCCTCTCACACACCTCCAGTGACCCTTGTTCCATGCCCAGTGAGTTCCAGGCCCTTTGGGACTTGGCTGAGTTCCGCAAGGCCTGTAAGACCGAGATGTTCCACTGGATGTATGGTTGAGGACAGTGATGGTTAGAGAGATCAGTGGCCTCCTGGGGTTTCTCCCCCCCCCCTTTTATTTTCTGCTCTCTCCTCCTTTTGACCTTCATGAGTGTAATATGGATTTTGTCAGCCACCTCAGTTGTTTATGGGATAGACCTATGACGCCATCTTACTTTAATTGGACTTAGTTCTTATGGCCCTTTCTTACACGCCCAGGGAAATGCTGGTCGCCACTGTGGAGTCAGGAAGCAATTTTTCTCCAGTCCAGTTTGGCTGGAGATCCTGGATGCTTTTTGTCATCATCTTGGGGTGGAACAGTGGTCGCTGGGTGTGTGTGTGGGGGAGGCATTTGTGAATTTCTTGCATTGTGCAGGGAGTTGGACTAGATGACCCCGGAGGTCCCGTCCAACTCTATGATTCTATGGCTCTATGACTGTATGTATTTTTTAATTAGGCATCTATATATCTAATTCTGAAGATGCCCCCTGGTGTGCGTATACCTAAATCCGCGCATCGGGGGCACCTGGGGGGAGGGAGATTTTTTGTGCACACTTGGGACGGTCCCCAGGTGTGCACAAAAATCTTAAAACCTGAAAAAAATATTGGGGGGATAGTTAAATCCCCCCAAAAGTGACAGAGCATCCCCTGTGCATGCGCAGGGAACGCTCTGCAACTGGCTTCGCCGCCGCCTCGGAGCCGGCCGGGGGCAGCGAGGCCTGGGCGGCTGCAAGCCGCCGGGACTCGCTTGGAGGGGGGGAAGAG